CAACTTTTTGAAGTGCCTGAACTACGTCGTGGTAATTACAAGGGTAAAGTACAAAATGCAGTTATAAGAAAATATCACTTTTGATGATATTAAAACCAAAAAGAAGAAATATTTTCTTGTTTAAATTATCTATAATACAACTACTTCACGTCATTGCATTTTAAAAGTAGATTTGAAAATCCTGATTTATAATGTTATATTGTTTTTAATAATATAATTGCTAACACTATTTGTTTTAGGTAACAACCAAGTCGTCATAAAATTGAGTATAAAATAGGCTTTCTATGTAAATTATTTATTAACATATTTGATATGAAATGGTCAATTGAAAGCGTATTTTTTACTTAATTTTGTGTTTCAATGAGAAATTGGGTCCAGTCCAACTTTCCATCAAGTTCTGGAGTTGAGAGTTTTGGTGCAACTAAAAGTGGAATATTCTTGACGCTAATAAGTTATCTTTTTCCTATTAAGTTGGTTAATGAAATAGTTATTTTAAAAATAATCTCTTTTTAACTTCTAAACATGCAATTATTGAATAAAATAATTTTAGACTGAAGCCGATCCAGATCCAGATCCAGATCCAGATCCAGATCCAGATCCAGAACCAGATCCTGCCTGTATGCCACAGCTCCGCCTAAAGAGATAAAAAGTGGGAAGATGTGTCAGGACAACAGGGAGAAATCACTTTCTGGACCTTTTAGTTGTGTTATTGTAATGTTCAGGTATATGATTGCTGCTTAGAGAGCTAAATATTCGTTAAAAGATGAATTATCCTTATTTAGTAAATATCTTGTTGCATATAATGAATAATTTTTGTATTGAAAGATTTAATTAGTTAAATTGATTTANACATAAATAGATCTATTAAAAACGGGTGACAAAAGTTTTATTAAAATACAAGTACAACCTTAAATTAAAATCTTACGTTTTAACTTTAAATATATAATTTTACAACAATAAATATTTGAGCTATTTACTAAAGCAATGTTTGAAGAATCTTCTAACACTATTTACACAGCTTTGAGAAGAGACGATAATGAAGAACTACGCAGAACCTTATAGTGCCAACGGATTTCATGGGCGGTGTCAATTAGATACTTTCCGGCATTATTTGCGCTAAAAAAGAAATTAAATATAAAATAAAGCTAAAATTATTAAAAGATGAAAGGTATTCGCAAACTTTAAATATGTAATTATGTANAGTACAAGTACAACCTTAATTGAAAATCTTACGTTTTAACTTTAAATATATAATTTTACAACAATAACCATTTCAACTATTTACTAAAGCAATATTTCAAAACTCTTCTAACACTATTTACTCAGCTTTGAGAAGAGACCATAATGAAGAACTACGCAGAACCTTATAGTGCCAACGGATTTCATGGGCGGTGTCAATTAGATACTTTTCGGCAATAATTGTGCTAAAAAAAATTAAATATAAAATAAAATTATTAAAAGATAAAAGGTATTCGCAAACTTTAAATATGTAATTATGTAAAAAAAAGACTTAGAAAGACTTATGTAACCATAAAATATCTAAGTAATTACTCATTAAATATACAACACAAGCCACTAACAGGGGACAAGAATAAAGAGGTTTGTACATAGGTAGGTAGGTAAGTAAGAATAAAATATTTAAGTAACGACACCTTCAAACCATATTTTATTTAAAAATGCAAAGACATAAGTCAGGCAACTAACGGTGGACAAGGACAAAAGGGTAGGTAGGTAAGTAGGAATGAAATATTTAAGTAATGATTAACAATATAATGTGTTGGCAAAGGAACTCACCATGCATGCAGATGTAGAATCAGAGTATCATTTTTCTTTCAAGATAGTTCCAGTCTCTACCAGGATATTAAGACGATGGAAGGGGTAACGAAAGGCAACTGCAACTTCAAATTAAAGTTATTATTCCTGTATGTACTACAATTTAAATTATGTTTTAATACAATAATGTCTCACTGACTTTTTTATATCTGTTTAATTGCGGACTCTTTAAAGCCTTATTTATTTTATAAATGCAAATATACAACATAGGTAACTAAAAGGGAAAAAGGGTAGAACGATTGGAAGGTAAGTAGGAATGAAATATTTAAATAATGACCCTTTAAAACCTTATTTCAATTAAAAATGTAAATATACAGCAAAGGTAATTAACAGGGAACAAGGCTAAAACGGTTAGAAGGTATGTAGGAATGAAATATTTAGGTAATGACCCCTTGAAGCCTTATTTAATTTAAAAATGCAAATATACAACAAAGGCAATTAACATGGAATAAGACTACAGCGGTTGGACGGTAAGTAGGAATGAAATATTAGAATAATGATTAACAATATAGTGTGTTAACAATGGTACTCACCATGCATGCAGATGTGAAATGATAGTATCCTATCTCTTTCAAGGTGGTTCCAGCCTCCACCAGGATTGTAAGACGATGGAAAGGGTTAGCAAAGGTAACTGTAACATTAAATTAAAATTATTTTACTATATTTATAGCAACTGAAATAAAAAAAATACCTTTTACTACAATTAGGTCTTATTAGCTTTTTACATCCTAACTGCAGGCATCCTATCTAATTTTTTAAAAACCAGCAACAAAAAGATGTGTCAAAATTACGTTTAATCTTGTGGTATCATCGGTTTTCTTTTGCACTGTCAAATAGGTACCTTACAGCATTATTTTTGCTAAAATATGTAAAATAATTTAAACATAAAAAAGCGCTCGTGAAATTATTTACAGATGGAAAGTGTTAAGTAATGTTTGAGACGTGATGATTATGTAAAAAAAAGTATGTAGAATCTCATGGCATCAATGGTTTTCTTGTTTGCTAAATTTTATCTAATCATATACATCTATTGAAAAAAAAAACATTTTTAAAATAGCTTACTGGTTCTTCTATTCATTTATGGTTTCTTCTTTTACAGCCTTCTTGCCTTCAGAAAGCAGTAAAGTCACTAGTTTTTCGCTGACAACATGGAGGAACAATATCATATTGAAGTTGGTTCTTGTTTCCTCAGTAGGGTAAAAATGAATCGAAATTAATATCCATGATCTCTCTTATTTATTAATCTATATAAAAGCACAAGGAAAAAGAATTAACTACAGTATGAAATACATAAGATACAAAATAAAATAATACGTACAAAAAAGATGTATGTCAAGTTATGGTCAAGTTATACTGAAGATGTAGATAAATGTGAAAGTTGTATTTTAAGGATACAGACTTGTTTTTATGATCAAATTCATTATATTTGCACTTACATTAAATATTTGCTTTTTTTATAATAAAATTTATAACAATTTCGTAAAAAATAGTTAAAAATGATTCTTTCTTAGCATTCTTAGCTTAATTTTTGAGAATGAAGACATTATAATTACAATTATAAATTTATTACTTACAATTTTTATTACTACCCAAATTTTGAAGAAGCTTAATTAATTTTTTAATTTATTATAAATAGAAACTATACATACATATTTTCCTTTCAATATCGCTGTTCTTGAACATCATTTGGCTTTACATGGGCTTGCTCTGTAGGCATTAATATACCTTTGTGATGATGATGGTTTATATTGGGTAGTACTTTCATCCAGACGATTCTCATGGATTTCCCGAAAAATGCATGGGAATAGGTCAACATTTTGGGTATTTCAAACCACTAACATGCTCATGATAGCTGGTATATCCTCATTGTCTGTCTTCTTGGTTTACCTTTTCTTCATGCTTGGATGTAGAATAATTCACTGATGGAAGTATTATCGAGTACCATTCCTGCAAAAGAAGGGCAAATTATTTAACTAAATTAAAGAAGAAGTAATAAGAAAACGAGAATAATATAATTTTAACCGTTAAAAACACCTACATTATGAATAATGTTATTCACCCTTTGTGTATCTATTATCTATGGTTATTCACTGACAGCCATAGATCAGTAACAGTACATCTTTATGGAAAAGAGTCATAGATAAACTTAAATGACATTATCAACTTCCATCGAATTCTCAGAAAGTCAAAATCAGATTAGCTTCAAAAAACTCCAATAAAAATACAAAAACAATGTTTATTAAACTAGGTATGGTATTGTATTGATTGCAGTAATAACTGATGCAAATATTTCAATTAAATCAGGTTTAACTAATACAAACCTGCTGGTGACTGAAGATCGACAAACGATGAGTATCTATGAGCCCAACCAATGCTGGACTGTAGCTCTCGATTAGTATTCCTCTATAGTATTCATAGATAGTATTATCTATGGACAGTGTTCTAACCTTAATAAAATAATTGGATAGTGAAATCGAAGTGCAATAATGATTAATATAAAATTAAAAATTAATTTATTAATTCTGTTATCTGTTTTTAGTAAAGGGGTAATTTGCCATAATAAATACTCAGCTGCTGCAAATACAAAACATGATGAATCGACAGGAAATACACCTCTTAATTTGAAAACATTGGATAAACCATTTCGTATGAACAAAATTAACTTACTCTGGTCAAAAGCGCAAATAGTAAGTGTTTAATTTAAGAAATATTAAAAATTGTCAATTTAAACAATATCAAAAATTTTAATTATCACAGCGTTTGTCTGAACCCAAATTGAAGTCGCTTTTTGGCGAATTAAAAATTCATGATAAGGAAGAAGTGACATGGAAAAGGTTAAGAGCTGAAGGAAAAGATAAGGATGGTCTTAAAGAAGCTGAGTTAAGACAAAAATTAATTAACATAATGAAAATGTACAATCTGTGGGAGCATTTTGATGATACATCATCTTCAGAACAACCCAAGCCAGAGTCTGATAAATATATAAATAAAAGTTTATTCAAAGACAAGAAGTTAAATAAATTGTGGCATAAGGCTGAAATGTCTGGGTTTTCTCCATTAGAACTTGAAACCTTAAAGGAGGAATTTAATCATCATCAAAATAAAATAGATGAATATTATTCCATTCTGAAGGATGTAAAACAGCCTGAATCAACAGCAGAGAGTGAAAGTATGTTTTATTTTCTTTACAGTTAGGTAACTCATTTAATAACTTAATTAAATTTATTGAAGATTCGGTCAACGAAAAGCTTGAAAGATTTAATACTATAGAATACAATGAGATCCCCACTACAAATCATATTCAGAAAGCAAACATGCTCAGAGAAAAGCATCAAGAAATCAAGGAAGGATACGATCGTTTGCAAAGACTAGCCCATAAAGGTCCCAACAGTAAAGAATTCGTAGAACCCAAAGTGCAAGGATTGTGGAAGATAGCACTGGAGAGTGACTTTGGACCTGAAGAAATGGAGTCTTTAAGAATCGAATTACTTCATTATGAAAACAGGCTTATGAAATTGAGACATTTACAAGTAGAGCAAGTACTTAATGAAGAGAAACACAAGGAAAAGGCCCAGTTATTGGGGGAAAAACCCAATGGACATATTCTTTTAGATGACAATATCAAGAAACAAACCAGAAAAGTTGAGAAATTGCACTTGGACTTGGAAGCAAAAATTATGCAAAAACATTTGGAATTGTAACATGAAAATTACTTGATACAAAAATTGTATTTATAGTGATTGAATTTGTACTAACAAAGATATTTTTAATGTCAATTACTGATAAAAATTGTAATTGTGAAATACCGAAATACTATTTATGTATGCAGCTGTATTTTTATTGTAGATTAAATAAAAAGTTTTTAAAAAGTTCCTTGTTTACGTGAAATTTTAACATGAACAATTTTTTTTGTAAGTAAATCATTAAAAAATAAATACATTTCCTATTGTGGAAATAAGGAAATGCATTATAAATTACTTTTGAAATTATGCATTTGTGTTTTGAATGCCTTCATTGGAACGCGAATACTTAAACAGGAAATTAATGTAGCTTATTAGGAATCAAAATTAACATTAACATACTTAATAGTAGTAGGAAGCACGTTTGGGTATAATTTATACTCTCGGTGATATAAATTAAAGATTATTTAATACAATACAAATAATAAAAGGTATTTCAAAAGAAGATATAATTTTTATAATTTGCGTAGGTTGTTATACTTAAAAATATTACGTTAAAGCTAGAAGTAAATTAAGAACTAATAGGTAACAACACGAAAATGTTTAATAATTATAAATACTGGATGCGTGGTAAAAAAAAAAACAAAAAAAATATGTAAAAATTATAATAAATAAGTAAGTACCTATTTGAATCATGCTTAGTAACTAGCGTGAGAGGCTGGAAATGCAAATTCTTGAGTTCTACATCTATAGGAATTAACTTCGATAGAATTACAGATGTTTCCGGTGTAATAATTATGGTGTATCATGCCATAGCTTTGACTGCTGTAGGGATTGTTGAAATTTGTAGTAGGATAGACATCTTGCTGGGGATATCGTCCACATTTCCATGGGAATATATACTGTAATTCGTTGGGCATATGAACAGAGGATGGGTCCTTAGAGGGGGTTGTAGGAGGAGGCATCCGGGTATCCGTTGATACCTTAGGTACATTGTACTTTTGCGATGAAGTTTGCTGGCCCGTCATACTTCTTTCATTTCTACGAAACTTTGCTCTCCTATTTTGAAACCAAACCTAAAAAGAAGTTATTATTGATGGTCTTTTATTTATTGCAAATATTTATAATACACTACCTAAACCTTTTCTTGGATGAGAGATATTTTCCTGATTACGACGTATAAATAATGTTTTTGTAAAAAGAATTATCAGTTTGATTGAAAACACAATTTAAACAAGTCGTGTAAAAAGAGATTTTAAGTTTTGTTAATATGCAATAGTTTGATTCTTTAGCATACTCGTTTTTACGTAATTTATGCGTAAAAATTGTAAGCAGAAGTATAATCCTCCCTTTAAATGAACTTGGTATATAATAATGCAATTCCTCTAATTGGAAAAGTATTCTGTGCTCAGCCGTTTCAAGGGAAAATATTAAAATGTTAATGCCACTTAATATTTCAATTCTCTACCCCTACGATCCGTTTTACATTAAAAACTCCTTTATATCATAGTAAACTTTCGGTAGCCATGGCAAAAACGTAGTTTGTTTATAACTTTACTTTTGATCGGTTTAAAAATTGTTTTTTCGTTGTCCACATTTTTTTTATCAACTTTCTTTTGGAAGGGATAGAAATTTTTGTTTAGAAGATTAAGAACTTTGAGGGGATGCAGGGTTCGCAACAGTTTGGTTCAATGAGTCCCCAGCAGGGAAGTATGCCGGCCACTATGACCGCGCCGATGCCTCAAATTCACTTGGGACAAGGAGGTCAAAATCAGATGTCCATGACTTCTGGAGTTCCTGGATCTTTACCGCAAATAGGAGGATATCAGTACGGAGGAAGTGGATTTCCAACAGCTGGGGGAAATTATTCTCAAATGGGGGGTATGGGGAGTTACTCGTCCCCACAGCCGACGCAAAATTGGCAAGGTTGGCAAATGTCTGGTGGACAGCCAGGGGGCATGTCTTCGCCATTCCAAACTAGTAATTTACCATATGGTTTACCAAGTGGAGGAAGTGATGGTCAGAATATGGGTAGCAAAACAACGAAGTTTACACTTGATGGTAAAGTAGCTAGTCCAAATGGTATGAATTTTGGCGCACAGAATCAAACTTGGACGAGTACATTTCAGGGAAGCAATGCACAACCGACAGGGAATATGCTCCCGACGGGAAATTATTCCTTTAACATGCCGCGAAATGGCATTTAAAATTACCCATAATATGTTTAGTTTGTTTTAAGAAATTTTGTTTGTAATTCATAGTTCACATTTTTGATCATCATTAAAATGGTTATATGTTTGCCTAGTATTTTCTTCTACTTTTAATCGATAATAGATCAAAATTAAACGTGACTTTACCTGAACTCGTGCTTCGGTTAAATTAACTTTTGCTGCCAAATCTTCTCTAACGAACGCATCTGGGTAGTGGGTTTTCTCAAACACTCTCTCGAGAGCTGTAAGCTGGGCAGTGGTAAAAGTTGTTCTATTTCTTCGCGGTTTCTTAATTTTTTCGGAATCTCGACTAATTCGCCCAAATTTGGACACTGTAAAAAAATGCTTTACAACACATTGGTTACAATTTTAATGCTCAGAAAATGGTGACGAAAGAGCTTAATAGTCAGTCCAGAAAAATTTCTACTCTTTATTTATTTATTGCTTCTACTTGAGTTTAAAGATTGATAAAAATTCGAGTGTTAGATATCAAAGAGTTTGAAATTACTCATTCAGATTACGGAAGTTTCCTTGTAGTTTGTGAAGACTCCAGAAATGTAATTTGGTAAAAAAGTAGACCAAAACTGCTTCTCTGTACCTTTTAGGGGATGAGGGGGTCATGAGAAAAATTAAGAAACTGAAAGGTTATTGATTTGATTGCCGAATAAAATTAAAATATTTACGATCTATCGTAAAAATAAAAAGTGTAAAGGGCTGAAATACCGGAAATTTGTGTTGAAAGAAGCGGTGTGTTGTTTTGAGTGCCTCGCGACATGTACAAAATATCTAAATAGAACACAACATCGTTCGAGAAGTACATACATAAAATTGGCAGCGTGAAATAGATCTTGTATCCGTCGTCTCATTATAGCTGAATGGAATATTATATTATTCCAGAGTTGTTTCCGACGGCATCTTTCACATGTTACTGTCACAGCCGACTGCTGATGTGAAGCCTTTCGCCAGCTGATAGTAACACACACGAACATGCAAACACACTCTGAGATTCATCGGAAAATTGTTCATTCTCACAATCAGACCTTTAAATTTCGGCATAGGCAGAATATCATGAGGTTTTAATATCCTTTCAACCCAGACCAGAAGAAGTCTTCTTTGCCTTGACATCAGTGGTGCTCTGCCTATGTCCTTTTACTAAAATATAATAAATTCGGAAAAGTTTTCATTTCTGCCAATTCCATTTTCGAAAACGCAAACACAAACTACAATTGCCTGGTTCAGTTTTTCTTCCACCTGTGTGGCGAGATAGTTTTGGATTAAGTAAAGGTAGAAAATTAGAGAGAGTATGGTAAAGGAATAAATAAATAAACCAAGACGAGATCGCGTGTATTAAGCTGCAGAGTGGTAGCCAGCAATTTTCTGCATAGACCACAATATTTAGGGTGGACCACAATATTTAGGGCGAGCCACAATATTTAAGGCAAGCCATAATATTTACCACGAGCTACAATATTTAGGGCAAGCTACAATATTTAGAATGAGCTACAATGTTTAGGGCGAGCCACAATATTTAGGGCGAGCCACAATATTAATGGTGGACCACAATATTTAGGGCGAGGCACAATATTTAGGACGAGCTACAATATTTAGGGGAAGCTACAATATTTAGAACAAGCTACAATGTTTAGGGCGAGCCACAACATTTAGGGTGGGCCACAACATTTAGGGCGAACTATAGTATCTACGACCAGCCACGATATTTAGGGCGAGCCCCAATATTAATGGTGGACCACAATATTTAAGGCGAGCCATAATATTTAGGACAAGCCACAATATTTAGGACGAGCTACAATATTTAGGGCAAGCTACAATATTTAGGACGAGTTATAATATTTAGGGCGGACCACAATATTTAGGGAGGGCCACAACATTTAGGGCGAACTATAATATCTACGACCAGCTACAATATTTAGGGCGAGCCACAATATTAAGGACAAGCCACAATATTTAGGACGAGCTACAATATTTAGGACGAGCTACCACAACACTTAGGGTGGCCTATAACATTTAGGGCGAACCGCAATATCGAGGGCGAGCCACAATATTTAGGGCGAGTCACAATATTTAGGGTGGCCACAGTATCCGGGGTAGGCCTCAATATTTAGGGCGAACCACAATATTGAGGGTGGGCCCCAATATTTAGAGTCGGTTCATAAGTCAGAACTTTTAAGCATGGGCTTCGGTCACCCGAATCTTCCCGTAGCATTATCCCTGTATCCCTGTGTAGTAGTAATTATTCCTAATTGAGCTTTGTGTTTGCTTTAGTATCTTTTTCTTTAATTTCACCTCCACAAAATATCGTTATCAATACTTATTGTAGTACCTCAATACAATCCTGAGTGATAAAAATATAATTTTCAATACTTAATCATTAATAGAAAAAAGTATGTCCCTCTTCTAAAACATTAAACTTCAATATAATTTGCAACAGTTATCAAAATTATTCAAAAGATTTTGAGTTAGCTTATTTCGTATGAAAGATATAAAAATCGATTTTAATTATCAAAAATTCGTTTTGTTTTGTTGTGGTGCAATTCGATCGTTTGTTGGTGATTTGTTCTCTTTTGTCATTACGTCATAATTATTCTTTTTGTCGATCATTTGCCATTTTTTTTTGGTCCGGTGCATGATCCAAGATCAGAAGATCACAAATTACCGCTGCGACGCACAAAGACAAATGGTCTTTTGAAGAAGTGTATATGAGTACACATGTACCAGTTTGACTAATTTTCATGCAAGACTGGAAAAATTCTAAGAACATGTTGAGACACTTCAAATGTAATAATGAATTACTATTATTTTTATTAATATTAAATAACGCGTCACACTTATCACAAATTTCAACCTTCAAGGAACCACGAAATCAAATAGCTGAATTTATTTTTTAAGGAATCTAAAGTTCGTAGAATTTGAGATTATCTTGAAAACTTTTATATTCAAGTAGATATCTAATAAATGTTAAATCATAAAATTAATTAAAAATAATAGCTGTTGTAGTTTGCTGAACTACTTAACTAACTATGTTTTTACATAAAGTTGAAATTACATCACGGAGCAAATGAAAAAGGAAAATTTACCTAAATATTAAAGCGATATTTATTATTATCCCATTGCTTCGTAAGCGAAAATAATAAAAATTACAGTTTGGACCTGAATTTGTAAAAATAAAATCCCAGCAGAAATAAATTAATTAGGTATTTTAGTTGATATTACAAATTAAATTGTAACAATTAAGAAACTNGCAAATTCAGTCATTTACATTCGAAAATTGTAATTTTTGTATTACCATGAAAATTTAGTTTTCTCCGTGATCAAACATGAATTCTTTGAACATTTTTAATTGAATTTCAAACTAAGTAGCAAGATTTCATATACCCTGTATAATAAGGGTTGTTACAAGTGAAATTCGATCATTTTGACGGAATCCCCTCCGTGGCAGGGATATTCACTGGACCCTTACGAACGTAATGGGTGGTAATGAGTGGTCCAAAATTTGATGAATGACTTTCAGATGAGGACAAGCGACTTTCAGATGTTTTAAATGTAAAAGGTGAAACCAATAGAAAATAAAATAATATGGCGTTAGGGTGTGTTCTTTGGCAAAATAAAAATCCGTCTATTTCGTCAATATTCAAAATTACATTTACTATTTACGTTCTAGTTTAATTTGAATTTAGACTATTTTAAATGAAATAAAACTAAAGCAGTAGATTTGTGATGAAAATTAAAGATTTTAGGTTTATCAGTAGTGTTTTCAAATGATAAAAATGGTAACAATTTTAAAACGAGAATACCTATCAAATTTTTGACACTGCACCTATGTCTTTCATTGTAGGTATACTACAAAGTTTATTGTTTAATTTTAGAGAAATTCAAAAAAATATATATATAAGTAGTCTAACGATAAGCATTTTTAGTTTAACTGATACACTTAGATTTCGTTGTAATATTACAGCGACAAAATTTAGTTTCAAAATTAGTTATTAAGTCTGATTGCTTTTTCAAATTCGGGATGCGTTTGTATTAGATATTAACTCACGCATAATATGTAAATCTATGAAATCCTATGGCATTGTTAGTTACTTAATAGTGGATTAATATGCAATATAATATAATCATTTTTTCGATTTTTTATTTACCTACTACTAGACGAAATTTGTATTCAAAGTAATAGAAACTTAATTTGAAAGAAGCACCTTACATGCAAATAGGGGGTAAAAAAGTCGTTATTTCTACGCATGCTTGTGGGGCTGTTCAAAAGAGTTTTGCAAACATTTAAAGTAACAAAAACAGAACACAAATTTATTTTTTTTAAATTTCTTTCAACTTTCTAACACTTTCAAGAAGTATCTTCACCACGGTTTTTAGGCAAAATTTTGTCATCAGGTTCATCATTAATCGGCATTACATTACAACAACAAATATTAAACATAGTTAATTACAGAATAGTAGCATATTTGTTAGTAATTTGATAAGGTTCGAACTCTAGCACTTATCGTTAAGTAATTTTTGGTTTAATTTTGGCTACACATTTAATATTACTATTCTGATAAGTATTAAAGCAGTAAAGGAACAATGATTAGGTCAAATAGATCTCACCTTCAGGTACTTTTGGAAAAGGTCGATTTGAGTCGATCTTCAATAAACTACATACAGAGAATCCGGTCATTATATCCTTTCCAAATTCAGAATTGAGATTTGCTTTGGATAGGTCACTCGAAGTCACATTTTCATCGGCGTTCATTTTATAAAACACCAATCAATAGACAAAACATTTTAAGAAAACGGTGTGGTTTTCATTCGTCTGTTATTGCCACAAAATGAAAACAAAAAACAACTATTTTTGAAATAACCTTATCAAAAGTTCAAATTTTTATATCTACACGTAAACGATTTTGTCAAAATGGATTATGAAAATAAGCGACACGTTAGCCGCCAAAATTCGACATTTAATTATAGCAATTAAAGAGTTGGACGGCGTGATTAAAGTTGAATTTGAAATTGATATTAATGCGGTGTTTATGTCTCGTTAATTTAATAATCGCAGCTAAAATACGACTACGTGGTTTTGTGTTAATTTGAAAAGCTCGTGCCAGTCCCCTCCCCAATGACTTAATTTCAGAGTTGGCTCGGAAGGCAGAACTTAAGCCAAGTCAGGGTAGCGCGGAGTGGCGCCAAAAAACTAACGGGGTGGGGAACAACAACGTGGTTTATAGACACTCAGAAATTATGTTCTCGTTGATTGAGGATAATTGTCGGAATTAGGTGACGACGTTTTTCACTGCCTCACCAATTATACGACCCAACTAGGAACAATCCCGAATTGGTACCACATGGTAGGCCCCTCATTTGAAACATAAAAGATGAAAATAAGGAATACCTAGGAAGTTGGTAACATATCCTTATTTTTATTATGTGTGGCACTACTTATACTCATACAACATAATTAAAATGAATAATTATTGACGCCTAATTACAGAAGAAAGGCGGTGCTCCGTTTTAGTAATAAAGACGTGTCATTTAGGAAGACAAGGACGATTATTAAAGCCTGAACGGATTATTATCCTGGGAGTCATTTTCACTTTCTATATATCTCTTTAATATAATCTAGATACTTATTTAAATACACGAAAAACAAATAAAGTTTTAAGATAATTTTAAACTGTTGTGGTTTTCATTATTTTTTAAATTTTGCATGGAAAAGATCTACCTCTGCACTTTAACAAAGTTCAGATTCATTTCCCAATATCCTGGAAGTCATTTTCAGTTCCTATATAACCTAGATAATTATTTAATTACACGAAAAACAAATTAAGTTTTAAGATAATTGTAAACTTTTGTGATTTTCATTATCTTTTTGCTATTTTTAAATCTTCTGTAAAGAAAGTATCTACCTCCGGGCTTTAATAAAGTTGAAATTCATTACCCAATGTTCTGGTAGTCGTTTTCACTTTTTATATACCTACTTTATAT